GTCGTGACTGTTATACCTCCTTTCTTTGTTACACAGTGGACTGGGCTTACCCATTGACTATCAGAGATTGGGTATATGATTCTTGCGTTCAGAAGTTTTTTTACTTCGTCTTTAACTACGGTACTCCATATTGGGTTAATTCTTGGTTGATGTTCTCTAGAAGATTTGCAGTCGTTTTCCAACATAATGTGATGCATACAAATGGAAGGACTCATTCCTTTGAGATCCGTAATGTTATATCACAAGGCAGATGGGTATTTTCTTAAGACTTGTAATAATTTTTCTGTTTCTTGTTGTCCTAAGTCTGCATTGACAACTACTGGTCGTTTAAGCTCGGCGTCGAGGAATTCATATCTAAGGGTCTTAAGTAATGGCTTAAGATCCAAGGCTGGTTTTCTCGGACAAGGAATGTGGTCAGGTGTCAGAGCTAAGCATTCACTTAGATTGTCGTCTCGGTATTCTGGACACCATTTGTTATCTTCGAATATTAGAGGTGTGGGAATCTTCATGGTTTCAGAACAAGGTATCTGTTCCCATTCAATTTCCCTCACACATTCGTCCATGATGTCTTCCAGATAACATGTGTTATCTATGACAGGCACTTGTAGGAACTCTGTCAGAATAAATTCGAATTTCTCTTCACCTACTTCAAAAGTTAGTTTTCCTTTCTTTACATCTATGATGGCTCCAGCGGTAGCTAAGAATGGTCTTCCTAAAATGATAGGTGTACTTTCGTCTTCTCTAATGTCCATGATTATGAAATATGTAGGGATGTAGAACTGACCTATTCGTACGGGAACGTTCTCTAAGATTCCTACTGGATATTTAATAGAGCGGTCTGCCAATTGAACGTACATCTTTGTTGGTCTTAGTTCTCCCATTTCAAGTCTGTTACATATGGACAAAGGCATAACGCTAATACTAGCTCCTAAATCACACAGGGCTTTGTCTATGAAAAAATTTCCTATATAACAGGGTATAGAAAAGCTTCCAGGATCTTTCAGCTTAGGAGGCATCTTATTTTGGATAATTGCGCTACACTCGGCAGTAAGTGTGACTGTTTCGTTATCTTCTAGCTTTTTCTTGTTAGATAAGATTTCCTTGAGGAATTTGGCATAGGAGGGAATTTGAGTTATGGCTTATGTGAAAGGAATTGTTATATTAAGTTGTTTCAGAAGTTCAATGAATTTTTTAAATTGCCCTACGTTCTTAGGTTTAGCTAGTCTTCCAGAAAATGGGATTTGGGGTTTATAAGGAGGTGGAGGCACATAAGGTTTTTCTTTTTCTTCGGCCTCTCCTCCTTTATCTTCTTTATCCTCCTCCTTCTTCTCAGGTTGATTCTCCTTCTCAGCTGGTTTTTCGGATCTATGGTACATATCTAGATTTGTAAGTCTTGGGTTAGTCGGTCCGTCTAACTCAGTTTCACTTCTTAATATGATGGCATGAGCATGCCCTTTCGGGTTAGGTTGTGGTTGACCAGGAAATGTATCAGCCAGTGCAGCTGTAGGTGCTTGTTGTTGAGCCACTTGAGAGATTTGGTTTCTAACATTTTATTGTGGGTGGCCAAAGCATCTATTTTGTTCGCTAATTGTTTTATCTGCTCGTTAATGTGTTTGTTTTGATTTTGGACGTCTTTGTTTGTTTGTGCTTGGGTAGCTATGAAGTTTTCCATCATCAATTCTAAGTTTGATTTTCTAGGCACATTAGGAGCGTTTGCAGGAGGTTTCTGATATCCAGGTGGCACAACAAGTGTTTGGTTTGGAGCATACAACGCATTAGGGTTTTTATACGAGAAATTTGGATGATTTTTCCATCCAGGGTTGTATGTGTTCGAGTAAGGGTTTCCTTGAGCATAACTTACTTGGTCGGTTGGAGTTCCTGCCAAGATCTTACATTCGGTAACTAATGTCCAGACACTCTACATATCTCGCAATTTGGAGTTATAGCAGCCACGGTGGCTGGAGGTATTGCTGTCAAGTTATCTATCTTAAGGGTGAGGGCGTCTACCTTAGCATGGACGCTGTCTAGACCGCTTATCTCGTACATGCCTCCTTTCATCGGTGTTTTCTCTACGGTAGCTTTGTCTACTTGTCCTTTTTCACTTCCCCACTGATAGTGGTTTTGAGCCATACTTTCTATGAGAGCATAAGCTGCGGTGTAGGATTTATCCATAAGTGCGCCTCCTGTGGCAGCGTCTATCCTTAATCTTGTATTGAAAATGAGACCATTATAGAAGTTATAGATAATTAACCATTCTTCTAAGCCATGATGTGGGCAGAGTCTCATCAGATCATTGTATCGTTCCCAAGCATCGAAAAGGGACTCATTGTCCTTTTGTCGAAAATCACTTATTTGAGATCTTAGCATAGCCGTTTTACTTTGCGGGAAATACCTTGCAAGAAAAACTTTCTTCAGCTCATCCCATGTGGTAACAGAGTTTGTGTGTAGAGATTGGAGCCAAGCCCGAGCTCTGTCTCTTAGAGAAAAATGGAAAATACGAAGTCTTATTGCCTCTTGAATGACCCCATTGTTCTTAATCGTGTCTGCGTACTGCATAAATATTGATAAATGAAGATTGGGGTCTTCCATCGACCCACCAGAAAATTGGTTCTGTTGTACAGGAGACAACAAAGAAGGTTTTAGTTCAAATTTGTTAGCCTTAATTGGAGGAGCAACAATGCTATTATTTGGTTCATCTTGCGAAGGAATAGCATAGGATTTGAGCGAACGTGGAGCAGGTTGTGCGGCCATTTCTTCGGTTGGTTGAGGAACAGGAGATTCAAGTAATTCACAAGGTGGAGGATTATGCAAGAGATGATACTCTTGAATGCGGCGTCTAAGTCTAAGATACCGCTCGACATCTTTGATTTGTATGTATAATGGCTCGCCTTGCGAACGAGTGTTTGGCATACAATAAGAAAAGAAATAGAAAAGAAATAGAGAGGTTTTGCTCTAGTCTCTACTGCGTAACAAAAGCGTAGCGATATCGACTTAAATCAAGTCCCGGCAACGGCGCCAAAAACTTGATCGGATTACAGAGGTATATAATGATTCAGACTGCAAGTGCACGGTATTATCGTGTAGTTTTAAAAGATATCGAACCACAGAGACTGATGAGTCGAACTACCATCTTCTATTGTTACTTTGCAAATCTAAAGCTAATGAACGCTTGATTGGGTTGTAGGGAAACTAAATACTAAATTAAGTTTAATTTTAATTATCAGTAAGCGGAACTACCAGTATGTAATGGTCGGACCTCGGGAACTAGCAACTGGTTGGGTGTCTTTGCATTTTCAAAACAACTTTCAGTAAAATCTATTTAGTTTAAAAGCCCTCGTCTCACACTGTCGTTTTATTGATCTAGGATATGCAGTTAAGTCCTAATGTACGCTTCCACCATCGCACAGGAGTTAAAAACACTTTTTGAAAACGAAATAGAATCTTAATTAACTTTAAAGTGCTTCCGCTGTATTTTAAGCCAATGCCTAATTACTACTGTCCAGTTGAAAGATCTCAAACTTCTGCTTTGTTGACCCTAACCTCTATCCATTCTTTACTTTCATAACAAAACAATTTATCGATTAAAAATAGTAACTTAGACCAGAAAAAGGTTTTGTAGTAAAAATTACCCAACTGAGTCACTCGATCCCTTGGTTATGTGACCTTACATACCGATATACGAATTCTAGCCTAGCATAATATCAGACCAAATCACAGAACAATCCAAAGACAAAACAAAGTAAACATGATTATATTAATTAAAAGCAATAACAATTCATAAAAATAAACCTGAGGATAATAATTCTGGATACGGGTACAATTACTTCTAGCTCTTGACTAGAAGCACTCCTCCACAAGCTGGTAGGCTTTGCTTCAATCAGGAATAAAGACAATCGTACAGAAAACAAATGCTAGAGGAAATAGAAAATTGCAGGAAAAAAATGCTCAAAGAAAAAATGCTTAAGGAAAATGAATTCTCAAAATATAAAAGGTGACCCCCTCGCTTTGTTGTGTCTAGGGTTCTATTTATAGTACTTTGTGTGATACGTAGGTTTGAGAAAATATAGGAACACTTCGAGTTCGTTTGAGAAAAAATAGGACCACAGAGTTGGTTACATCCTTCATGTGTTGACTGAGTGGAGCTTAAAAATAGGATGGCCGTTGGATTGGTGTTTGAACTTTCCTCTTCCATTGGATTTGCAGACTACATGGTCAAAGAAGGAAAAGGTGGGCCTGTGACGTTCGTCAAGTCCAAGTGACGTTCGTCACTTGGTCCATTATTCCCGTGACGATCGGCAGCGTGCCTTGACGATCGTCAAGGTCCTTATGCTACTAGGCCATGTGCTCACGCCTTGTGATGGGCTTATACTTTCTTCTTCTTTTATTCTTTGGCCCTTTTGCTATTTTTGCACCCTTTTTCTTCATTTCTTCCAAAATCTTTAACTTAACATTTATCTGTAAAATAAGTGAATACACGGGTAATACCTATATAAAATAATACAATTAAAATAAAATAAGGGAAATAATTTATGTAAATCAAGCTAAAAATATCATATATTTGTGTGTTATCACGAAGCTACAGACAGAGGGAGTTGCTCCGTGTGACAGAAAATTGTTGATGATGGGTTAGATGTTAGGCAGTTCTATTGGGATGATCGGTCGTTGGTGTTACGACGGGAGGAAGACATTGTTGTGTTGTGATTGTGGTTAGATTACGATAGGGAAGGTGATAATATCGGTTTGAAGTTGTAGACGTATGTACTGCGGTAAATCCTCCTCCCACTATCAAGATGGCGCAAATTTCTGCATTGGTCCCCAACGAAATCCATGAGTCAGTGCAAAATCTTGTCGAGCCAAATAATTCCTTTTCTGATGCCGTGGATGTTAGGGAGGAAATTGATCTTCATATAGGCGCTTCATTCACCAAATTTTAGACCATGTTAATGAAATATGCTTTTAACATAGATTTGTTACAAATGGCCGAAATACTGTCTTGAGTTATGACCCTTTCCTGTTTCCTACACTTGGATTTGTTGTGGAAAGATATTGGGAGATACAAGCACATGAACCAAAAGAGTTTTGGGCAATCAATTTCTCTCATAGATCAGATGAAGGCACTGCTAATTTCAGTTGGGGACGTGAGCATTGGTACAAATTCTACAATGCATGATCACATCAAGAAGCTTCTTGAACGGTTTTATGCAACTAAGGATGCTAACATGCGTTTCACACCAACTAATTTGGGTGAGGCACTTGTTATGGGATATGATGACATGGGGTATAAACTATGGAAACCATATCTGAGAGCAGTTATGGAACGCGACATGAAATTGGTCAGTGAAGGGAATAAAAGCAAAGGTGAAGTCCTGCATACTAGCTTGCAGCAGATGAGAGCTTGTTTCACAGTGGAGTTTAAAGGTTTTTCTTTGTGAGCTTTCTCTGTTAAACTTATATTGTTGGTTGAATGAATCTATTTATATCTCCTCTCTACTTTTCAGATTTGATATTTCCTCTTTGTGAAAAGTATTTTGTGTCATTTCTGTATATTTTCCAGTACTTGTTATTATTATCCTAACATTTCTAAATGCCAACAAAAATGCAGCAGCTCTATGACACAGTAAAGTGGTAAATCAAGCATTCATATGGCATAAAAGTGATGCAAAAAGAATATTTAAATTGATGGATATATGAGAAAGTTATACAAAAGTAATAGAGAGGAAAAAGAAATACCTATCGGAGTCTCTCTGATGGAGCTTCAAAATAGTAAGTTTTCCATCTTTTCTGTTTTGTTAATGCCTAATTCTTGTTATGATTCTTTGTTGTGACTCTTGAACAAGTTTCCCTCTTTTCTGTTTTTTCTCTCCATGAGTTTTTCTCCTTTTTTTTCCTGTTGAATGATGTCTTATTTTTATAGGAAAAAATGATCAAATTTGGGGGAAAAAGTTGGTGCCTTTGAACCAAATTAGTTAACTGTCTTCATAGATTTTTCCTTTAATTTTGTGTTTTACTGATTTAGTGTATTGGCTTCATTTTTGGGCTTATATAACAGGCTGGATGGCAAGGTTTTAGTACAGGGCAGCAATGGCATAACATTTTTTTAAGTGCAGATTTTGGTGCAGATTTTGCAGCAGGTTTTTGGCAAGTCTGTGGGCAGATTTTGGACAGTTTTGATGTAGAATTGGGACTGTTTTGCTTACTGTCTTGGACAGCAAAATACCACAAAAATTAGACTTTTATTTGTTGAAACAAGGCTGGAAAATGGGCTGTATGCAGCATGATATTGGGCTGGAATTTTAGGACATTAGAAATAATAGTCTTGACTTTCATGTACAAACTTGTAATCCCTTTTGTAACTTTGTAGTGATAATTCCAATAAAATTGTAACATGAATGGAAACTTGTCTTGAATACAATTTCTCAATTCCTTTGTAATTGTAAACATTTTGAATCTTTATTTTTGTCTTGATGAAATTCAAATTCTTCCATTTGAATTTGGAAAGGAATTGATTAATACTTGAATGAATTGTTTAATGATGAATAACAATGATGCAAGCCTTAAGACCTCAATCTTGCATTTTGTATTAGAGATCCAAATAAATTTCATGAATTGATCTTGTAATGAAGTTGTAACCATCATGCATTTATACTTGTGATGAATGATCATTTGAATCAAGTTCCTTTTTCCAATATCTTCTTTAATACATGCCTCATGTGAATTCAAATGGCCATGGTGTGAACCCATCAAAATAATCACACAAAAATAATCTCAAATAAATATTAATGTGATGAATGATTATTCTTGAGTGAGCCCTTTTAATAACTTATATTTTGATAATAATTGAATTCACATGATGAAAATTCCAAGTATTCTAAATAAATTCTTCCAAAGCAATCTTGAATTCAATCACCCCACTCTAACAAAATTCACACCACGTCATGTAAGTATAAGAAATCGAACCAAACTTAAAAGCTTTGAATGATCACTAGAAGATGGATTTGAGGCGAAATGTTATCGCACTGAGAAATTGGCACAATGAACTAAACTTAGAGATCCAAAAACTCTTAAATCATGACAAACGTCCCATAAAGTCCTCTCATGGCTTTCCAAACACAATTCATCTTCAACTTTTAAAGAAAACTTGCAGATGACTTTCGATCGAAGTGCTCGAAATTGACTCGCATAACCCGATCTTTTCTTGTATTTCAAAACACTTAGAAAATTCTCTAAGTGTTAGGAAAATATGATAATTACATAACTTTGGGCCAGATTTTCATCATGAAGCAAGATGATTCAATCAGAACTTCTGACATGAAAGTTATAGATCTCAATGAGATCTAAAACATTGCTGAACAAAACTTCTCCTAGAAATGCTGGGATTTCAAGTTATAAATCCTTGAAGACAATCCCATGAAGCTAAAACACTTAGTAAATTCTGGGCATTTTTTAAGTTAGAATTTAGACAGAACTTATGGGCTTGTTTTCACACAAGTACAATCAGAATTTGCAAAATTGATTCAAAAAGGGATGGCAGAACATGTTACAAGCTTTCTAGAGAATTCCTTCAGATCATGCTGGAGCAGGGAGAATCGAAGGTCAGAAGTTTGCTTTGTCCAGAACATGACCCTTCGAATCTCACTCTTCAACATATAAAAGCTCTACTCTTCGATCAGAACATGACCCTTCAAATCTCACTCTTCAACATACATAAGCTCTACTCTTCGATCAGAACATGACCCTTCGAATCTCATTCTTCAACATATGGAAGCTGTGTTCTTCAATCAGAACATGACCCTTCGAATCTCACTCCTCAACATGTAGAAGCTCTACTCTTAGATTGGAACTTTGATTCCCTTCGAATCAGCATCTTTCGAACCCAACTCTGGGCCCTTCGAAGCAAGTTTTGTTTAAATAACTTTGAGAAAATCTCATAGCCTTACCCTATTTGTCAGGCTATGTTGCTTCCAAATCTTCATATGATCAGAGGTTTATACAAAGGTTAGAAGCTTTGTCTATTGGATAATACTATTCTTGGTTAAAATAGCAAAGACTACGTCCCTTTTTTTTCATGGAGAGTACTTTTATCACAAAAGCAGCTTCCAACCCGATTCATGTATGAACGAAAAGTAGTGCCAGAAGCGCAAGTCTAATCTCCTGCCAGCACACCCCCACTTGTACTGGAAACGTGGGAACAACGAAAATGGACTGACTTGTTTCACCCTTAACCAAACCATGGTTTGTCATCATACAAACCTGGTTACTTCAAACATGTTGATTCTTTTGTCTATAAATAGAGAAGCATTTGCAAGCTCAAGAGAGGACTTTTTGGCCAGAGGAACGAATCTTCAAATTTCTCAAACACCATAAATTTCTCAAACACTTAAACACGTGAAAATATAAACCCAGAATCCAAATACTTGTCTCCTTTGAATCTGAAACATCCTTACATCTTGCTACCTTTCGAATCCAGCAAGAAAGACATTTCACTTGTTTTTCTCTTTCGAATCCAGTGTCAAAGGCCTAACCCCTGGTACCTCCCTTCGAATCTAGAAGCATTCAAGGTAACCACTTCAAGGTCCAGCACATGCTCCAGCCTCCATCATGGTAAGTCATCTTAACCTTGGACCCTTCGTTTCCAGCATAGCATGTAAATAAAATTCCTTTTTGTTTCAAACATATGCATAGCATTTGTTCCCCTTTCATTTACACCCTAATAGTTTGTTTTTATTGCATTTCCTTTTGGTTTTGATTCTTTTGTTTCTTACAAATGTTTAAAGAACTAACATGGCCTTAAGGCAGTGCTAGCATGCCCTTAGGCCATGTTTCTATTTAACATCTCAAACGAAGGAAACAGGAAACATGAAGTAGGGAACGAAGCCTTTGGCTTCCACCCTGACCTCTAGGTCAAAATGAAAGAGGCAGCCAGAAGGCACACCATGCTGACTTCCAGGACCAGACGAAAGGCACAACATGCTGACTTCCAGGCCCAAACTAAAGGCACGCCTGCAGTGATTCCAGGCCCAGTCGAAAGGCACTCCCTTACTGCTTTCAACCCCCAGTCGAAGGAGGCAGAAAGGCAGATTGCATCTCACACTGATTCCAGGCCCAGTTGAAAGGCACAACATGCTGACCCCCAAACCTCAGTCAAAAGTCACCCCTTCACCCCTTTCAGGCCAAATCGAAGAGAGCCAGAAAGTGCAGAATCAAATGGTTTTCTGCCTAAATCGAAAGAGCCATTTTCTTGCTTTTATTTTATTTTAGCTTTTATATTTTCATGATATTCAACATGGTTATAATAGTGTAGGATTTTCTCTTTATGCATTTTATTATTTTTGTATAAATGCTAGTAACTAGGATGTATGGCAAGATAAAAATAACAAGTAGACAACCCTTAATCAAAGACTAAATGCATGAAAATCAAACACACTATTCACACATGCCCCCTAGGGTAGTTCCACCTGTTGCCTCGGAAAAATAGTCATGTCCCTCGAATATGGGCGTTTTAGCAAAGACCCTCGATAAAAGATGGTAGTCCCTCGATGACCCTCAATGTTGCCTTCGGTAAATGATCTAGTCCCTAAATGACATTGATAAAACGTCCCATAGGTTGCTTTATATGACTATACAAACGTCCCACGCCCATCCCTTCACATCCAACAATGGGGATTCTTATCAAATCAATGGTAAGATAGAAACATCTAAAGGAAGAGGAAAAGAACACTAAAGACCTTTTGAGTAGGTAGGTTGCTCCTAGTTACTCGCTTGCTCACAACAAAAACATTTCATACACCAACACTTTCATTTTGAAACATTTTCAAAAGACAACACTTTGTACGCGTTCTTATAGAAACGAGAACCATTACAAAGACACCTTTTCAAAATCACTTTCAAAAACACATTCCACAAACACTTCTTTGAACTATTTTCCAAACAACACTTTGTACGCGTTCTTATAGAAACGAGAACCATTACAAAGACATTTTCAAAATACTTTTAAAACCCACACCACAAGTACATTTTCAAACAAAATCAAGTGATCTAGCAAGCAACTAAGAGCCCGTAGATAACTACGGATGGAAAGAGTGCTAATACCTTCCTTTTTCATAACCTACCCCCCCGAACTCAAGAAATAATCTCGAAAGGTCTTTCCCGTTCTTTTCAACCTTTCCTTATTGGATAAAAGAAAAGTTGGTGGCGACTCTTGCTATCCGCAACAATTGCGATCAAACACAAAAACACCCAAGTCAGTTCTCCCACCGTGTTACAGAACTGGCAACTCTGTTGGGGAATATCTTAAAAGTGGGGTTACCTTAGGGATATATCATCTTTACTTGCTTTTCTTTGTTTGACTTATTTGCTTTACATTATGGTTCCTTGTTTGGGTTTGCTTTGATCCTCTACCCGGATCTAGGATACCTTTTTAGGTAAGTAGAAA